CGGCGGGGGCGGGTGGGTAACCGTCCACGAGGCGGATGATGTCGCGTCCGTCAGCGGCTCTTCGAGTTTCGTGTTTGTCGACTCCGGCCTGTCGCCCGGGAAGACTTACGTGTACAGGTGAGTGGGGGGGTGAATGCGTTGTTGGTCGTCGCTCGTTGGGGGTGGGAAGGGCGGGTGGGCGTTTGCTGCGGTTCTTTGTTGGCGCTTGGTGTTCTTCGAATCCGGACATCCCTCGTTTAGATCGCGGCTCTGGGACCCAGGAATGCCAAAGCCTATGGCTGAAGACACGCGATGTATGGATCGCGATGGGTACCTTCCCCGACCTCAAATCGCTTTTCTTTGTTTGTTATGGTTTCGACAGACAGGGTTTTGGCCTGTGGTCCTTGACCCTACCCACACTGAACACCAACAACCCTTGTCCATGAAACATCCCAAACAGAGTGCGCGCTTGGAACCTAATCGGACACAGCGAGGCGCCCACCGCGCACGTCACCACCCCACCGGTCCACTCCCTCTGGACGAAACCGTGGCGGCTCATCTCGCCCTGGTGGCCAACCGGGAATAGTTCCGCCGCTTCTTCTAGTTCCACCGCATCTCCGGCAGCCTCCGGCCTCCAAGAGCCCGAAGGCATGGGTGGATCTTCGTCTGTTGCGAGAACGGCCGGGCCTGCCGAAGCGGGCTTTGTAGATCGAGGAGGTCTCGGGGGCACCACGGCGGAGGAGGGGGGACAGCCTTCGGGCTGGGGGTGGAGGGACGTTTTCGGGGCGACGTGGTCGGTGCTGTCGTGGGGCGGGTGGGCGGTGATGGCGGTGGTGAAGGTGCTGCACGCGATGCTGGCTTTGGCAATGCTGCAGGCCAACCTCACGGTGAGACAAACACCCTTTGGGCGGGGGGGTTCCGGTGTGTGTTTTTTGCCATGATTTTCCCGGATCAGCTTCTTGAATAGCTCGAACTTTGTTTCGTCCCCTAGCCCTGTTTTTACCCGATGGCGGATCAGTTTGTCACTTGTTCGTGGCAATCCGACTTGTCGTTTTATTGACGGTGGTGGGGCATTGCGACAAGTAGACGGTCAGTTTTAGAAGCGTTGCAGAAATCAGCGACAACGTGTTGCTGCTGTCTCGAAAAAGCAGACGCGCTGTCTGTGCGTTGGAATCGTCATATAAGGGAATCCAATTGGCCACCGCAGCTGGTGCGAGTTCCCTGCTTAGACGCTATATCGAAGTAGAATTGGCGAGGCTTGTTGTGGGAAGTATTGGTGGTCGCCAAACGGGAACAGGCGCGAAGTACTTCCCCTCACATCTCGCGATCTCCACTATCGATACCCGGTGCGAGTCTCGCTGCTGCTGCTGCTGCTGCTGTCATGGTAACCTCTCTCGCGCGCACTCTCGTGCCGTCGACGCTCCTTTTTTTCTTCGCTCTGCACGGCGTCCGCCAATCAGCGACTGCGCGCAGCGTACGGCCATGGCGGGACGGGGGCTGCGGTGCGGAGAAACTGGGCGGCGGCCTTGGTGTGGAAGCTCAACCACCTCTTTACCAGGTGCGTTCTCTCGGCAACCTGGTAACCCCTTCATCCCGCACGGCCAAATTGTTTGGGAGCTTGTACCGCTTGCTGTTTGGACACGGATGTTTCGTTTGGAAGAGTAGTGTGAAGAGGTATCGGTTGGAGGTCGGAACGGTTTTAAACCGTAAACACAACGGACAACTCACACAACAACAAGAACAACTGCGTCGCACGGCGAGTGGGAAAATATGAGCTCAGCTTTTCGGCGCGGCGTCGATCGTAGAAAACATGCGAAATGTTCGTTGCGCACACACGCCTTTCGCAAGCGAGCGTGGGTCTCGCCTTTTTTTTGTGATTGACGTCTTGTGCTCCAGGTTTTCAGGTGATGCTTGTTGCTCCTTCACATTTCTCCATTAACTCCCTGGTTATACGTCTGCTCTTTTCTCTCTCTTCTCCATGTTTCCTTCATCTTCTCCTACTCCTTTCCCCCAGCAACACCGTCATCTCGGCAGTTGTTCGGTCTCTCAACGAGAAGCTGGAGCGAGTGATCGGGCTGCCCCCCGTAACCCCGCCCTCCGCGGGCGGCCAAGGGCTGCGGCGCCAGAATCGGACGAGAAGCTTCCGTACCGTAGGCGGCGGCGGGGGCGGCGGCGGCAGTGAGACCGGACGCCGCAGGGGCCGTTTCGACTCTCTCCCCGCCGGGTCGGGGCGGGACGATTGGGGCGGCGGCCGCGGCGGCCTGTCGAGGATAGACGAGCAGGACTACTCCGGCCTGGGAGTCGGGGACTACGGAAGGCGGAGGGACTCGAACTCTTCCCGGCGCTGGAGGGGCGGCTACCCGCCGGCAGGGGACGGGAGGAGCCCGCCGTCCACGTCAGGGAGATCGAGGTTGTCGTCGTCGTCGCCGTCGGTGCTGGCACGACAACGGCATCAAGATGAAGAGGCTCGTCGTCGGCAGTCTGACCGCCGACTTCGCGGGCCGCCGGCGCGGTGCTACGGTGAGGAGGAGAGCCGCGGGGGGCGGGGGGTGCGCAGCGCTGAGCCTTCCCCGGAGCTGAACCGCTACGGCATTCGTGGCGGAGCGTACGTCCGGGACGCAGACGGTGCAGGTCTGCAGCCGCAGCCGCAGCAGCAGCAGCCGCAGCAGCAGCAGCAGCAGCACACCAGGAGTATGAGCAGCAGCAGCAGGCAAGAAGGGGTCCCCCACTCGTCTAACGGCTCTCTGGGGTCCTCGGCCTCCTCGTTGACCTCCCTGTCCTCGCTGCGGCGGCGACCCCCCCTTTCTCCTCATGCCCACAGCGGTACCCACGCCGTTGTCGATGATGAGGAGAGCGAGCCTTGGTATTGCGATCGTTCCACGGAACGATCCGCAACCGGAACCGGCGCGGCTTCCCCGGTAAACCCGCCGCCGGTGGAACGGAAGAGGTGGTTCGGTTGGGGCAAGGGCGTTCCCGCGGAAGGCGGCAGCGTAGGGGAGGGGGCGATAGATGCGGGTCCCCGGGCGGGGATGCCTGCTGGGGAGGAGGGTGACCGCCTCCGCGGGAGCGGCGACGAAGTGGAAAGCTTTGACGGTTATGGCGATGATGCTCAAGAGCTTTCCGATGGCGGTATCTCTGACGGGTTTCCGTGGGACGGAGACAGTGCCGAAGACGTGGGCGAGGTCGAAATGAGGCCAAGCCTGGAGAGGAGTGGGTCGTCTCTGGACTTGCGGCGGGCGTTGCCGCACTTCAGGTGACCCTACGGTAGCGGTAGTTACTTGTGCATCGACAACGACGAAGTCGATCGTGTGCCGGGCGTCGGATCGAGGGCTATTAGCCAGGCCTGCTGCTGCTGCTGCTGCTGCTGTTGACGTCGTCATTGTTGTCGTTGGCGTTGTTGTTGTCGTTGTTGTTGTTGCTGCTGCCCGCGGATACTCTCATGTTTGCGATGCTTGTGTTGTCATGATCGGCCGCATCTCTCCGCGGCATCTGCTGCAGCAGCTGACAAACTATCCCTCATTATCTTTGTACGCCTTGTCCTATGGGGCGGCCTGTACGGTGTTGCGATTGTTTCTAACGTGGTTTCGGTTATTAGAAAATGCCAAAGCCCGTCTGTCCACCTCGGGGCAAAACCGCAAGGGTTGCAGCAGCGGGCAATATCTTCCCTTGTGCCAGCACTACCACCTTTGGCGCCGAATCTTCCACCTGCTCAAAAACCAACCGGTGCTGCATGTATGCTACATACAGGAGTGTCTCGGTGGGCCGCCTTGCGCTGGGGTTGAAAAAGGGGGAGCCATCTGGCCGGGACGGCTGGCGGAAGGAGTTCCACGCCGCGGGGGCATGTTTCTCTTGCCGCAAGCCTTTCAAGACCATCACCAGGCAGAGGCACCACTGCAACAGGTTTGTTTTGGCCGTGGTTCACGGGCAACGAAGCTCATGCGACCGGCATTTTTGTAATGGCGTCGGTTTCGTGTATCGTGCATTTTTCGTTGGACAACGCCATAGTGCCCCTTATTTTTTTCATGTCGTCTCGTGGTCATTTTTTGGGTCACCAAACACTACACCGCTGTTACTGTACGTTTTCGCGTTTCTGGGTGTGGCTCATTGGTTGGTTGTGGTGCGTTCATCACGAGCAAAGTCGAAACGAAAAAGACGGCACTCTACGGTGGGCGAGTCTGGCTTCGACCACCACAAAACGGCATCGATACATGCGATAGCGATAGGCAGTGAACGGTAGTCTCGCTCTGGGAGAACAACGTTCTATGTGCTGCCAATCTCTTACGCCAACATTACCGAAAATAAAGAAACCATAGCACTGATTTGCGATGGGCCAAGCGGACAGAGGAATCTTAATGTTTTCGGCGCATAATACTCGCCCGAGTCCACAATAAACTGTCTCCGGCACACCTGCTGTGGACGACTTTACCCTTGCAGCTTTCCGATATTTTCCATTCCACAAAACAACAAGACATTCCATTCTCCGTTTTTTTCGTATTGCGCGCGCACGCAGGTGCCATCGTGTGTTCTGCGCCAAGCACGGCTACACGGCACACCTCAAGGGCACCGTGTGCACCATCCCGGGGGGCTGCATCTGCGATGTTTGCCTCGAGAGGTGTGATGATGCCGGTCGCTTGAGTCCTTCTTGAGTGGCTGTTGCCGCGCTGTAGGTGGCATGACACAAGATACCATACCCCTCTAGACCGATTTTCAACGCTCGGTTGTTTTTGCAGCACCGACAGTTTCGGACCGAAAATGGCGGTGTTGGGACCGCCTAGGCATGAGCGCGTCGCATCGTGTGATTCTCGCATGTTCTTCGCTGTCGAAGTGCTCCGAGCTTTTTTGAGTCACTGCAAGGGCGGCGTATCTTTTCAACGTACGTACGGTACTTCTGCCCGGGTGTCGTAGGTGCGATCGCGGTCAGATTTCCTCTTTTTCCTCGCGGCCAGGCCCAGACGTCGGTTGCAAGACAGAAATTGTCTCTGGGAGGTTGTCGCGGGCATGGCCAACTTGGACTGCTCCACGCCCGTACAGCAGCAGCGAGTTCTGTCCAGCCGTTTCAAAACGGTTGGCATGTTCCAAATGAAGCGTTCTCCCCCTTTTTTAGTTCCGGAAAGGTAAACCGTTCTCTCCGATTATTTTATGTGAGGGTTTCCGAATAGGGTGTGAAGGTTTCCGAAAAGCAATTGGATTATTTCTCTGTGTCCCGTTTCGCCGCAACGTTGTATCTCACGTCTGCATTATGGACAATGCGCGCCATGCTCGTGTTTTTTTTTTTCGTAACTCCCGAAACGAAAATACAAAAAGTGTGGTCGGTGTTGAGGGCGACGGCGCCACACACGAAGCGCGAACGACGCAGCAGCGGCGGCTGTTCAAGGCTGACTCCGAGGGCGGGGCCGCCTCTGTTATGAGCACCGGGAGCGAAGGCGGGGGCTCTGCGAACGGGAGACGATTCGGGTGGGGGCGGTCGACAAGGTGGGTGGGGTCGGCGAGGGGATCTGAGGACTTGATTCCGTGTCGTCACTGCAGGTTTTTGGGTGCTGATGTTGCTTTTGGGGGAAATGTCCCAATACACGCGCCTGATGCAATGCACATCGACCAAGTGCGTCTAGATCTCACTGCAACTCGACAAGTTCTCTCTTGGCCACTCCTCCGGACGCTCCAGTTTCTGTCCGGTGCACAGTGATTCAGACGGCATGCTCGCGTCTTATCAACCTGAGTCGATAGCGATGCTCTAGGATCAGCAATTCTGACAGCAGAATACCATCGGTTTGCTGTGTACGCTCCCTCTTGGTCCGCTACACACGTGGCCGTACCGTAAAACACCGCGTGTCTGATGTCGCATGTTGTTGACGTCCACGCCCTTCCCCTTCACCCCATACAAAAATGCACCCGCGACGGCGTTTTGGCTGTCCCTCGGCCGTCCCAGCTTCGGCGGGCAGCTCCGGAGGAGGAGAAGAGCCGCCCCCAGCGACCAATCAGCGAGCGAGAAGAAGGATGACGACGAGGGGCCGTTTTCGGAAACCGTTACCGGCGCAGAAGACGACGGCCTCGGCGGCGGCGGTGGTGCAACTGACCGCGACTATGACCCTCCTCCGAACAGCGCGAGATCTAAAGCGGCCAAGAGATCGGCGGTGCCGGTGTCGAGTTCGGAAACCCCTCTGCGAATAGCCTCCGTTAGAGCGCTCACGGCCAGCCCCTCTGCCGATGGTAGCAGCCCTGCCGCCGCCGCTGGCGACGGAGGAGGAAGGGGCTCCGCTGAATCGTTCTCCTTAGACCCTCGGCGTGTCGGCCGGGGGGTGTTCGGGACTAGAAGGAGGATAACGAGATAGCATGGTGGCGGTCGTTTGTCGGCCGTGGTGTCGAGCAGCAGCTAGTCTTGACTCGTGCTTGCAATTGGTGCTCGTGGTTGACAAGTGATGGAAGTATTGCGCCTCTAACTTATATCGGGAGGTGTGGCCGGCGTTGGTGGTGGGGAGATGACGTGTAAACTTTCGGTCGGTACGATGAAAGCCGTTTGGGCTTTGGGGTGGAATTGGTATTGTATCCCCTCTGGTTGACCTAGTCTATGCGTCATCCATACGTAGCGATGTCAGGAGCTTGGTGTACTTGGGGCAATTGACGCTATGTTATTCGTTATTTGTACTCTTCCTTTTATTGTGAGTAGGAGAAGGTTTTTAGGCTTTGTCGTCGCTGCGGACGAGGCAGCAAGTTCCCCCCTTCCCCGCTTTTGGCCGGTGAGCGGTGTCAACCACGGTTTTGCCGAGCGCGGTCCCCAAGTCTCTCATGGCGTGCGAGGGGGGCGGTGTATATTCGATGGTGCGTGTCGATGTTTCCCGTGCGGCCTGTTGCGTGTGGCGTAGGCAAAGGACTTCGAGGGTAGGCGTGTTTTCGGCCAAAACGGGGTGGGGACCGGTTCGATATTTTGCGCGATGTTGGCTATTTTCGAATTACCCGTTTTGCATAATAATTGGCCTGTGACAAATGACAATGTCCGCATCAGTTGGACCGGTCCGGAAGTTGGAAGGTACAGTACCACTGAACAGATGCCGGAACGGGTGTCGATGTGAAAACAACGACGAAAAAAGACGATTTGAACATGCATGGATTTGGGGGGACTACCCATGGACTTTCCCCGGTTGAACACGGGGAGAAATTTGTTGAGGGTAGGGGTGTATTGTTTGAGGCCACCACCACACCGAAGTGGACACTCACCCTGTCCACGACGTTTCACAAAGTCGCTTCCACCATGATCACATCCTTTGACAGCCAACGCGCACCACTTTCACCGCCTGTTTCCTCCGTGTTGGATAAATCTGTCGGCTGCTTCTGTCCCAAAAATGTATTGGAAATCGATTTTGACAATCTATTGCAAAACCAAGTGCAACGGGCGCTGTCCTGTTCTCACTGGCTGATGAGCGAATCTCGCAGAAGAACGAGAAGGTACGTGAGTGTCCCGGAGAAATTCAGCAATGGACCCGAAACTACCCTTTCGCAGACGATAAAACCGTATTTTCCAGTAAATCTTGTATTCAAGTCCCTTCCCTTAGCCTTCAAACAAAGGATGGCGCGCGCTTTAACAAAGGCAACACACGCGTTTAGTCAACGAAGAAAGTACTGTGCAGAAAGCTAGAATGAGACCTCTGCCCGTCTGTCATTGCCTCCCGGCGCAGCTGAATTGTTGCTGCGTTCGCATGTATTTGCCAGTCAGTCGAGTGCACAACGATGCCGTCCCCCCAACCAGAGGGAATTCTACCGTCACGTGGGCTACTATTGCGTCCACCACCAGACAACACGACCTACACCACCACCGACACCAAAGGTACAGAGGTTTTACAACCATCACCTTCACCATCACCACCACCACCACCACCACTGCCGCCACCACCGCCACCACCACGTCCACCCCCATCACCACCCCCATCACCTCCATGTCCACCATCACCACCACCTCCACGCCCATCACCCCCACCACCCCCACTGCCGCCACCACCGCCGCCGCCACCACCCCCACCACCTCCACTGCCGCCGCTACCGCCGCCGCCACCACGTCCACCCCCATCGCCACCCCCATCAGCTCCACCACCACCACTGCCGCCCGCGCCGCTGCCACCGTGAGAACCACTACCAACAGAGTCGATAGCGACAACCTGGAAAAGGACGCGAGAGCACGTGGAGAAGTCAGCGAGCGAGAGCGGGGCAGCATTTGGTCACCGATAGGCTCAAATCGAGAAGGAACGCCTTCTCTTCGAGACCCAGCCACCGTAACACCCCGCTGACAAAATGCCTGGTTGACCTTGATTTGATGTTGGTCGATGAAGGAGTCGTGGAAGCGGCGAACGGCGTCGTCTCTCTCCTCGAGGCTAAGAAACCTGTGAGCCACGGGGAAACAGCATGCGACCACACAGGTTACGGCATCTCAGATAAACGAGGACGACAACAGCACAGCTAAATAGCGGACACACGTGGCCACCTAATGTACCGGGTGTATGTGTAGTGTTGCCCGATTTTTCTGCGGGACACACACGCGTAATAACTCCTGATGGTGGAACGACGAAGGACACTTCCACCAGGTCACCTGCTCGCACGTGCATTCGCTCGCTCACAGATCGCATCCTCATGCCGCTTGGTTGCGAACACGGCTTGGACGGAGGCCAACCGTATGCAACTGCCCAATGACCATCTCGTACCATGTTGGCAAGCTACGCTTCGTTTGTGCGGGTAATTCGATTCTCATCAAGTCTGATCAGCAGGGGATTCACCGTGTGTCTCCCCGAAGGCCTTCATGATTCGTTGACGGGGTTGAAGACATAATCAAAACTCGATACAACTCGCGTTTGTCATCACGAAAGGCCATAAGAAAACAACGCTCGACAAAGTGGGAGCACGGCGAAAGAAACCGTAAGGTTTGGCAGAAAACACACGGCCAACTCGACCGACACAGATGGCTGGTCGGGTTTCTCCCTCAAGCAACCAAACCGTTTTGCATCCGGTAGTATGAAGCGCTTGGGAATTGCACCCAACAAAAAAGTGTTCGACAGTCCAAAGGGCTGCCCACGTGCTTTGATTGAAAGACATGCATGCCCACAACCATGAACCCCTAGACAAGCTGATGACAGCAGATAGGTGCCACAAACCCTCTCGGCGGCAACGCGGCGGCCCCTCTCACCGAAGGATCGCGTCTCTGTTCTTGCTCCACAACGTGATCTTGTCCGGCGTTTTTTCAACCGCCTTTCGCAGGGTGTGGTAGGGGCATTTGGGGGGCAAATTGGACACCTTGGCTGGAAAATCGGCGGAACGCATGCAATGCGTTCATGCGTCGTCAAAAAAACAACGGCAACGCGGGGCGCGGAAAAAAAGCACGAGAGAGTCAACATGACGCCAAGAACAAGCGGTGATGCGGAGGACCGGGGGCAACAGCACCGTACCCTCGCCTTGACATCGAGCGACGTGGTTACCTCAAATCCTTCGCGGAAGGTAAATCAGCCGTCAAGGTCGCCCCCCCTCTCTCGTCGGTGGGTTACTAGAAAAATACAAGCGGGTTCCAACCCGTTCCCGGCGTAAAAAAGTTCGGCGTTCTTGTTGACGAGCGGAAAGACCATGCTGAAGCATTCTCGCCATTGAATCGAAGACCTACGCCGCAAGAAAACTCCGACGTCTTAAACATTTGTTACACACCGTGGGACACTCTGGGCTGCGGGCTGCGGGCTGCGGGACACTGTTGACGACACCGCTTCATGGGAGCGTAAAGTTGTGAGAAAAGCTTATTTTGTTTGGCAGCTATTGGTCGGGAGCTTTCGCCAAAAACACATATACTGCACGCTCACTCGAGGGCGAAGGGCGAAAGAAGTTTTCGGCGTTGACGGATTGGCGGAATGCGCAGGCGTCATCATTTTTGGATATATTTTGAGCAACGGCGAGAAGCAGGCACACCCCGTCAAACCAAACGCGAAACCGGCCAGAGAGTGCAACAAAGCTTGGAAAACAAGTTGGTGGCGAAAAACCTGGCGTTGTGCCTTCCAATCGAAGCCAGGAAGACCTCAATCATGCTCACACCCAACACAAATCGTTGGCAGACTCTACATATCAATATTCTACACAGTTGCGGCCATCGCAGGCAACTTTAACTCGGCGCCATTCAAGTGTTCTGACGTGGCCGTTCATCTCTCGTGTGGATCGTGCGTGTGCATGTGGTGGAGAGGGTCTGTGTGTGTGGTAGGGACAGGTGCTTGACGTACATTGGCGAAACCTTCGCCGCGAAACGTTTTGTTTGACACGTGTGTCGCGAGAAAAATATGCAAATTATTGCTCCAGATCGCGCGATTATTGTCAAAAGCAAAATTTTCCGAACTTTTGGCGCAACGTTTTGCTCCCTTATAGAGCGTACATGAGATAAGTTCAAGAAAACTTGCAAACTTCAACTTTTCTCGCAACTTGATGCTCCCACAAAACCGATCAACGATACCCACCATATGCCCACTGTGGTGAACCTTCGTGGTCGGCCCACGCAATATCAAGCGCACGCCCGCCCAGGTACACATTGTCGTTGGCACCTTGGACATATTCACGGGCATCCCGGGGGTCTTCAAACGTCACCAGCCTGGTTGGGCGAATATTTCGCAGCTATGGGTCACAGGTAAGTTTCTCGAGACAAACGTTTCTGTTCGTCTAGTCTACACTCACTTTGCGCATGAACGAAACATGTCAAGCGCGTTCAGCGCAGCAGAAGAACACATTGGCCAAGCGTTTCATCTATTGTCTCTATGTAGCCTCCAACCCCTTGCACCAGAAACACTATGTACCTCGTCACCACTGTCTGTGCGCTCGTTGCCCGCTGGAACGAACGACTACCAGAACATGATTGCTGACACATCATCGAGAACAGCTGATGTGTACGTTCGTTCTGCTTGCAGGCTCATGGGCCAGCCATACGTGCGTCGCAAGATGTTGCCCAACCATGGCGGAAAGCAGTTCCAAAGCGAGGATGCAAAAAGAGTCCGGCACAACTGTGACGAGACATTCATTCCTAGGCGCCCTGATCCCGATCGTTGTAGTCTATCAAGTCGTTCAGGGCTCGGCCGATATTTTCTAGGTTTTCCTTGGTCGTGCTATCGTCGGCGATAATGATGATCACAGTCGGCTTGACCGCCAACACGTAGGTTTGAGCAGCGGTCCCCCACAGCGGGGAGCGGCACGCAACGAACACACTTAGAGTTTCATCTATTTTTCGTCTAAACAGCTTGAGCTCATTCGTCGGAATCGGTATTGTAGTGCCACAGAGTTTTACATGCCCTGTTCTTTCTTTTTTGAGTGTATGCCCCGTTCTAATTGCTCATTGCACCGCAAAAAATACATTACGAGGTCGACGGCAGATTTGAACAGCTGGTGGAACAACGCTCAATGAGTGAGTGAGTTCAGCCGTATCTCACGAAAAGAAACAGTCGTATGCAAAATCTGTGACACTCACGCATGTCCGGCGTAGGCGCAAGCTAGCACTTCATCTTCGCGGACTTTCACGGTGCGCTCAAACCCGACGTCCAGGACCGGCCCCATTTCGCTCATGAGGGACCGGACGTCCTCGGGTGTCGCCGCCCAAGGTATATTCCCGACGTAGACGGTGGATCTACAAAGTGTTGCATGACAAGGGGGGGAGGCGTGATTGTCCAATATCGAACTTCCATGCCAGTATGAGAGCCTATCGCACGGCGGGGTGCAACAAGAAAAAAAACATCATGTCTGACTGAATTCCATTTCGCACAAGAACCTGAGGGAACCCCGGAAATTCTTCGCTTCGGGTCTGACGTGTTGCATAATGCCGTGTGCCACGATGTATGTATGTCCGGGAAATTTCTTGACCTGGAGTTGTCTTACCACGCAACCGTGGTTTGGTACAACGACAATCCATCGCCATTCATTGTGACTCCACCGCGCTACAACGTGCCAATGCTTTAAACAAGCAAGAAAACACACACACCGCAAACAAAGTACAACGCAGAGGGTGACACTTATAGCAGAATTCGACCATTATCGAACGTGGTGCACCGCGCAATAAATTGAGTATTGGAATGTCATTTAGGAGGTTGGACAGATTGCATGGCGGGGCAAGTTTGTTCATCATCCCGTGGGTAGTCTAGTTAGTTGTTGCTGAAAGTAATGTAAGAGCTACACGCACGCGCGGAACCCATGCGGAACCCATGTACGATGGAGGAATATTACAGTTAGTTAGGCATGTGCGAAATACTCTGGGCACTAACTGCAAACAATAAATAGTGTTATCAACATCGCACTGATCCAAACTGATCGGAGAGTTCGAAATTATGGTATACTCTAAATAGCAACCATCGAGAGCTGGTGCGCTTCGATGATTACGGAAAGTGCCGAACGTTACTACGTACGCCATCATGAGGGTAGCACAACAAACAGACGCACACGCCAAACGGATATACGTATGTATGTATCCGATTTTTCGCACGGGGTGTTACGAAAAAAAGGACGAGAAGAACCATGTGCGCTAATGACTTACCGCAAACCTTGGGCACAGCATGCCAAACCAAGCTTACTTGTGGTCGGATCGAGTGACGGTGTCTAACACGAATATTGTTTTCACAAGGTCCAATGGGTGCTTGAAAAGTTCGGTCGCTGCAAAACCAAGGACATACTTCTATTTCGTAAGAGAATAACATTAATATTTGGTCAACACGGATGGCCGGCGCTGAAATCTTCGCACCTTCGCTTTGGTGGCGGTGGATCGACGGTGCCCGCCTTCCTTCTGCACGAAAACGTGTGGGGGAGAGTTGGTTTCAGCGGTCAAGTATACGGCTTCTTGAAGCACCTGTCATACGGGCACTGTTGTGAAAGTTTGTTAACGTCGACTCCGGGGGGGCTGGTGCGTGAGATAATCACATCGGTGCTATTTGTAGTATCCCCCAATTGGACAAAGAAAGCGGGCGAGGGGATCTGAAAACCCGCGGAGTCCATGCCGTATGCCACAAGCGACGAGCGTCAACGGTTCAAAGTATGAATTGCATGTGTTCTTCTCGGTGAATCTTCGGCTGCTGCCGCAATACACTCACTGATGATGTACTGCAGATGGACTCCACTCAACCCGAGCCCAGCTGCAATACTGAGAATTTCAATATATTTTTTCTGCTCGGCTATAAAGCGTACGCCAGAGAGAGGAGGAAAGGAGGGGATCAACTCTAGTACTACGGTGTTGGCATGACCATGTGTTTTATTGCTCTCGCAGCCCACGGCCCTTTACATACTTCCTCTCCCGCCCGACGCCCTCGCCAAGAAAAGCGTTCCTACCTTCTGATGGGGTGCCCATTTATGTTCATTGCACCGTCCTGCCCTGGCGCGAGGCCCTCGCCGGTACCGGTGGCGTCATGCTTCGCCCAGTCCAAGTGCGAAAAAAATCACAGGCGACCAGTTGATGCAGTCGCCAGAACACCGACAAGAAGGGCACAGCAGTTTAAGATGTCAGGCGGTGGATTATCAGGCACAAATTTATGAGAGGCAAGAGCACACGATGCGAATATTCACACAAGGCGTACGTATTCTCTTCAAGGGAAAGTATCGCTCTTCTCTGTGCTGATACTACAGGCTTCACCTGGACAGCACCATCATTAGCGACGTCTGTGTTGTTGCCTTCGAGGATGGGTGCTGGAGCCCACATGCCGATTTTCTTCCGTGCAGGAAGAAAGGAGGCACTGAGTGAACATGCGCACGAAACCGACAAATCACATTCTGCGGATGAATGGACTGATCAGCATGATTAGTCTTCACAGCGCGTTAGCGCGTACTTCCGGAAGTTCGCGGCAGGTAGCCCCGCTACCATCCCTACCTCGAGTTAGACACCACTAACAGCAAACAGGCAACAGGCACGGCAAAATGTATGAATAAATGAATGAATGAATGAATGAATGAATGACTGTGGTCGGCCGCTATTCACTCGCTAATATCCGATAACAGTTAGAATTATTTTCATGTATTTCTCAGTGGGTTTTCTCGAAGCGCAACTACAGTATACTAGAAAATGTTGTAGGATGTGTGGACACGACATTACAGACTACGCCATGCAGCACAAGGTTTTCACCCTTCTATTGTACGTGTGAGACACTGCTAGTCATCGCTGACTTTCTGGGAGGAAGCTTGCGCCTTCACGTGTCTTCAACACGGACGGGAGGTTTCTGCAATTTCCGCTACATACAACATTCGATGCTGGACAACCCATTGGCTGTAGTCATTCAAGAATATCTGCATGTACGTTGGGCCCTCGTTTCACCGTTCCTCCGTGGAAACAACCCTATCTCCTTGTGCTGCTCACTCCACGATGGCTACACAGTTTGTTGACCTTGTTGCAAGATTTTCGTGTGGAAGAGAGAGGTGATTACAGTACATGGAGAAAATGGAAAATTCGGCGGGTACATGTGCTCCTTCGACGGGCCTGCGCCCTTCTTCTTCGACGCTATCCCGGCCTCACGACATGCCATAGCCTTGAGCAATTCGCAATCCTGAACGACGAACAACACAGGTCAGACGAAGAAGGGACATGTGGGGCGGGCACGTCAGGGCGGCAGAGACCATGCACTCCCAATTCTTGCTGCTTGTTGTCGCCCCCCTGGACTAATAGCTACATGTCGTGACAAACGAATCATCGAACTGTTTAGTGAAGGCAGCGCACGTCTACAACACATGATTATTCGATTCTGAAGTCAATGCAAGCTCCTGCCCAGATCAGCTGACCCTGCTCCGGGAAAAGCCTACAACCAATGGGGGTGGGTGGGGGTGGGGGAGGAGTGGGGTTGGTAGGTGGGGGAGGCGACACGTGTGGTGGACTTTGCACACCATCAGTTGGCTCGAGGGTGCATGTTTGGTTGTTTGGCGGGGGTATTGGGGGGGGGGGAGGGGGCGTCAATGGACGCCCCAACGACAAATGCGGAGGGCACAAAAAAATGTCCGCTTCGCTCTAGTAAGCACATAACCGCTGTGCTCGACCAAAAGCACAAGACAAGATGGGCTGCGTAGAACCCGGCGGACACGGGAGTGCAGTGATCCACAGTATACACGCCGTACGCGTTCTACCGTAACCCAGCCAGGCAACATTGGTATGGCAACCGTGCTGGTCCTCTACGAGTTTCACGGGCATTTTTCCGTTGTTTTGCAACCCCTACATCTGTGACCTACATAGCTCTTACGTAGCTCTCGGCGGTTCTTCACTGCTACCTACCCCGAATATACTTATGGTTTGGCTAACCCTGACACCTTAACAAGTTCGACAAGGTAGGCGCTTCGCCCACGCCCAGCTTGAGCGGTTGCCAGGGGAAGAACGACATAGAGCGCTAGAAGTACAAAGAGATTGGCGGCGGAATTTGCACCATCTCCACGGGGAAAACTGGGTGTTTATCATTTGGCGTTCCCAAAGTTATCGACACTATAGTCTAATCCTAGCAACCGTCGTGGGTGGGGGGGAGGGGGTGGCCAGTACCGCTGGGGACAAAATAAGCTTAGCAAGACTACGTGCTGTTCTTTCGAGTGCACGGTCTAGATTTAGTTATGGAAGATGACGCCGCGTCTACGCCGCGTCTTATGAACGGCGGGCCCGCGTGAGAAGGACTCAAAATATGAAGTAGAAGATCACTCGATGATGCTAAGAAACCCTTCGGGCCAACCGGCCTCTGACTTGAGGTCTTCGAAAACTAATTTGCGTCAGTTTAGGCTTTATGGCGGCACGTGATCAACTGCATATCGGCAACCACCGAATAGCAACGCCGTTCCACTTCATGGTTTGTGAGGCCTCTAAAACACAGAACAAGATCGACTTGCCTCGGACCCCTCCTCGTTCTCCTCGTCGAATACTTCAGCGTCCTTCTCGCCCTCCCCGGTCTTGCCCTCGGAGTCCTTCTCCGCTTTTTCTTTGCTCCTCCTGTTCTCGTCGAACAGTTGCTTGCACCTACTGACGAGTGTCTCGAAGGGCAGATTCTGTGGTATAGCGGGGGGAGGGGGGCGGGGCAACGACGCCGTGCAACCGTTGCGATTTTGCTCGAGACTACAAAAGTAGTAGTATCGTCAGAGCCAATACAGTAGGTGTCCCGGTAGAGTGCCGGTATGTGCCCAGAGGTTTGACCGCCACTAAACCGGACACAGGCACTACTCAGAACAGGGATAGATACTAAGTTAGTATAGGAGTGGACACTCGTGCCTATAGATTTCGCCGGCACCATGACGGGCCCAAGCACTATTCAACCGGCACTATATCGGGACACCTACTATACTCGAGTCGCGTGCAACTAACGGCGACGCCATACACGGGAACCTACTGACGTGCTCGTGCATTGCATAAGAATAGCAGTCGGTAAACCTGTTCGGGTGTTTGTGACTATTGAAAAAGTGAAGCGTGCGGGTATCTGTAGTCGAGGAACACCATGGCTCTTATACCTAGCGGCCATGTCAGTGCTATGCATACAATGGTAATACAATGGTAATAGGCGTAACTCCCTCATGCATAGTGTAGCAGTATTCCATCTTGGCCAGAATTAGCAGTTCAGAACGTGGCGGCAGCCTGGAATATCTCCACCCCGTCTCCAGAAACGCACCGCAGACACGAACGTACAATGAAAGTGTGGCACCTTGTTCGGGAATACACGAACCACCTTCAACGCCAAACGCGATCATGTCATGTGGGAAATTTTCTCGTGGGATCACTGCCTCGCACTACTAGTAGGTTCAATGTGATGTCAACCCTTACCGTAAGACCCACAAGGAGAACGTGAGTGCAACACACGAGGTTTCGTTATCGAAATTCTGAAGCATATCCATACAACGCGCACGCGATCCTGCCACACCTTGGTATTTTCCTGCATGGCCACGTGGACGGTCTCCCTGCCTCCTTCGTTCGTGTAGATCTCCACATCCTGTTCCTCGATCACCGAAGCGGCTACCCTACGCCAATGTTCTCTCGCCAGCTTCTGCCCACTCTCTGCGAAAGGATTGTGTTTCTGGATCGCCTTCCAGAGTACGACCTTCTCCGCAGGCGTCCAACAGAGACGAGTGGAACCTGGCAAGGTACAGGATGAGGGCGTAAGTATCAATGAGCGTCAGGACAGGCTCTTGTCTGCACTTTTACAGGGAGAGTGGAGCAGAACTTCAGTTCGACCTGCTGCGTGATCACAATATGACCCATTTTAAAACACCAGATGAAGCAACACCCGCCACCCCCCCACCACGCTCCTTCACCTCTACATACGCGCTGATACATCTGTACAGAACTGCTGTCGGTGCCTGCACTCGGCGGCCACGTATACAAGCGGGGGAAAAAAAACTGTTTCTGGACGCACGCCCCCCGCACCTGACGCACGGGGTGCTGCACCTATATGCGCCACATGGAACTGCACTACTACTGCTGTGTTGGCGGCTTGAGCGTACTTGTGCGAGACTCAATCGATACTACCCTTCGTCGTTAGGCTTCTTCTTCGCCTTGCCCTCGGCACGCTACCCACCCTTGTTGGCTGCTGATCCACCCTCCGGCTCGGGCGTACCACCACCGCCTCCGGCTGCGTCGTCGCCAGGATACGGGCTGGAGTCTGCTACGGAGAAGGGGGTGGTGGCGTCCCCACCTCGATGTGCGAGTGTGAATTCTCCTCCCAACCTAGACCCATCTGGGGGGCTGCCGTGCCCCTCATCTGAGTTGTGGTGCCTAGGCGTGCTGCGCCTGTCTGACTGGCGTCTCGGAGGCGTCGGAGTAGAGTCCATCAATCACGACAACAACGGTGGCCGCAAAACCCTCCTCGAAGAACGCACTCCCTCCTCGAGCCGACGCCGGCGTACGCCCAGCACGCAACGCCCTAGCGCAGCCGCGGGGAGGCGGAGACCGTCTTCGCGCCCCGCGGCGACTGCGCGTATCCCCACCTTCGTGTACCCTTGCTGTCAGCCACCCCCAATCCTTGCTCCGTTTGTGGAGGCCCAGAATTCCACGTATTTATCAGGTCAGAACACTTACTTACTTCCTGCGCGCGGCGCGAAAAAAGCCTTAGCGTGCCACGTTCCACCACCCTCCCGAACAAACCTCCTCCGATACTCTCAGCTGCGAACTCAGACGTATTCGGCCTTCGCAACGTACAGATTCGAAGCCAGTGTGGTGTGCTGTTGCTACCGGTGTCGTTGCGCCACCCTGCTCTCCTCTCTCTCCTTGTTGTTCAAAAAAAAAATCCGGCCTTCAACGAAAAAAAGTTGTGTCATACTGAAAAAAAAAAAAAGTTCCGGTGCGATTTTTCGATTTTTCGGGTAGCAAGTGCGGCGTAATCGCCTTAACCGAAAAAACTCACCGCTACCGGACAAACCGACGCCTACCGGAAGTTCCTACCCTATAGTCTAGGGAACCCCCCTTTTTATTTCTTGGTCAGAATGCCGAGTCCGCGGACATGACCAGATTTATTTGAAACTCTTTTTCATCTCATGCCAAATACAAATGCTGATGTAACATACATGAAATGATCGACCCTGTCTTTACTTGTGGTCCACGCTGCCTACTAGTGGGAGAGGTAGCCATACCTTCAGCCTACATACGGGCGAGATAGGTAGCCATACCCACTACATTTAACACACACCCACATGTCGGTGATGAAACCTCAACCACATGCCTCTATCGGCGACCACGTCAGGAGACAATGAAGAAAAAATATTCTCCCGTGACATTTGCAGATTTAACAGCACGGAATTACACGAAATTACACGAAAAGGTAAGAAAATGGTGAGACCACGCCCGTGTGTCCGCACATACTCCGAAATGTATCCACACATATACTACCCAAACACCCAGTACATACGCGTACCACATTGAAAATACGTTTGTAAACTGAGGGAGATTGCATGCCCTACGATTAAAAGGGTGTCACACACAAAACGCCCGACCAGTACCTAACACATATCATCTGCACCTTCCCAACATATAACATATATGAGACACACAAGACAGCTACCAAACTGTCTTGTTGAGCCTGTTACCCGCAGGGGAGATGTCCCTATATGCTGTCTGGGAAATCGTAGACATACAGGTACTTTCTGACGCTATGAACCCATTGCTAATCTGTCTCAGACTCTTTTCTATGATAGCGATGGTTTCGTTGTGTCATATTAAGAAAAAAAAAAAATGTCGGATCGTCGGTGGCCGGTGTCCGTCTATAGTCTAGATTCACTAGAGAGCTTTTCCACTAGGGGGCAGCAACAAGGAACGCTTTAGGTTTTTTTCCATCCCAAGAAAATGGGAGCGAATCGCTGGTGGTACACCCTGGTGCAATAACCTGTAACATTTGCAAGGACTGCGAAAACGTATGGTAACCCTTGGGAAGCAGTTGCTTCAACCAGTCAGGGCCAGATGAAGTGTCCAGGTTGGACTTCTGTAATAAGTGCTGGAAGGGCGTACACACAAGGGTTTGGAATCCTTGTCTGAAGCGTACGTAGCACGCACGGCACGCAGAAGTACAGTGGCCGACACCGCGGAGAACAGCGGTACCATAACTGTTGCAAGCGAACGCAACCGATCCAGGGATTTTGTACGCAAAGCAGAGCGGGTAGATATATCATGGCACATCTTCCGGCACACATCATCCGGCATCCCTTCTTGGCATGAAAAGGGCAGCCGGTTCTCTACAGTGTTCAGATTTCTACGCAAGATAGGAGACAAATGAAGGGCAGTCACTCCAGCGAGGCATATACTCGCTGCCCCAAACAGAGAGCACCTGATTTTAGCTGCCAAGATGAGCAGTAGGTCTTCAAGATTGACAACAGCTGACCACAAAGCTGACTACAAAGCCTTAGACTTAGACTTACCGCAGCTTCCCTCGAGCACACACCTACCTTCTTTGATGAGACAGTGACGTAGAGATATCGACGTTCCTAACTGAGCTACATGTAGCTAGCTGGGTTGCCTTCCGCTCTCTCCCCCTTAGCTCACTTGGCTGTTGGGTGTGGTGATGACTCGCAGGCATTTGGCGGGTGCCCCAGTTGGCTCTCATCAAGCAACGTCAAAGACGTCAACCTGAAGCGGACCTCTACGTCGTATGGATACCCTGTTTGGGCTGTTCGTTGGTGTGCGTTATGTAGCAGGTTAGAACGGATGACACCCATCACGCGTGTTGTAGGTTTGCCGAAAGCAGTTTAAGCATACGTGTACATAGACGTTCCGACGACGGACGTGATGCAATGAAAAGATGACCGGAAGCAAGCCTAAACGCATCTCATCAGGAGTAATTCAAACTTTGACGGTCAGCGGACGGTGATCACCCGTCGTTCCATGTACAATGCTCCCCAACAAGACCGCAGATACAATCAGGCTGCTACAATTGCCGTTCTCTAAATTTCGACTTCACACACAGGGACGGCGGCGCGCGAATAGCTATCTTCTCCAAGCAAGGAAATTACTGTATCCGTCCGCGAGGATCTCGACATGTAAAAAAGGGGCCATCAGTCTATAGCTGTCGGCCCTGGAACATCGGATTATCGCCTACACATGAAAACATGGGGGGGATGGAGATGGACCGGGTTGCCTGAAGGAGGAAGAGAACAAGCAAGCACGTTCTCGACATTAAAAAGATCCACCGTGTTTTTTGCTCTCGCATGAAGCAACCGAGCTAATCATGAACGTTTTGGCGATGTCCACAGCAGTACTGAACGTCCACACTCACATGAACACCTGTACCATCAGCAAAACTGCTATTCGGTTGGATTCCCATTGTCTATGGGTTGCTTTGGGGTTATTATTCTGTGAAACATTCCACTCGTCTTGTAGAACCACGATTGGTGCCTGCCCACCCCTCACCATGAGCAAACAACCAGCGGTATCATCCATATTAGAATTAGTTTTCCCCTCAACCCCAATGGTGTACTTCCTTCGCAGGCCAATCCGAGATGCTTCCTGAACCCCCCCCCCAACGTACGCCAGGACCGCAGAACCTGCGATCCAACTGCATCTCCCCCACAGTCCAAAGCAATGTCCACGTCCCGAGCGGCACCACTGAGCACACCTTCAGCTGCGGTAGAATCCCAGCCCCACAGCAAAACATGCGAGCTGGATATTTTCCTAAGTGTCGTTTGCCCTGACGACGCAAGCCTCCACCGTCAGTACACAGTATCGATTGAAACTCGAAGCGGCCTTGTGACCGCCAAGAAAACGGACGCAAAAACGCTCGATTTTCACTTCACTACCAAAGGGTGTTCGATTGATGCCCAACCCCAAGGATGCAAGCAATCTTGCTTGGGGAATACACCCAACAGCACGACAAAGCCATCGGCGAAACCACTCCAGTTGTATCCGAATCCATGCAGAGGCACGTCCACAAATCATGAAAGACTCCGCCGAGAGCACGTTTGGCTTCTCTTCCACGGACAGGACGATGTAGCAATTTAGCACAAACCAATCACACGACACCGGCAACGTACAACGCTCCTGCGGAGATCTCGGCCAGGGCCGATGCCCGTGTAGGGAGGGAGGGCTCCGCCGAAGGGAAACCGTGCGCCCCATTGGGTAACGATTTTCTCTGAAATGCTATTGACGCGGTATCGTGCACATGTGTTGGCCAAGTGAGATTTGTTAATTCGCATGAACTGGCAAAGCCGCAGGGTTCCCCGCATCTGTGTTTTTCCCCAGCCACCCGTGCCTATCATATCTACGCCCACGTGCTCGAGACGACTAACAAACAGATACTTGACATCCTGCCTATCGATGGCATTTCTCTTGTCATTTGGGTATCTGAAGAACCGGGCCAGATGAATTTCATGTATCAATCTTCTTCGCTCTCGTCGTCGCTGCCGGCCGCTCCAACCATGAGTTCCACCGCGTACTCCTGGTCGCAGCCGACGTAGCTGTCGCACATGAGGAATAGCTCCAACGTGTGCTCTCCGACCTTGGCGACGCACATGCACAGTGGGAGATGGTGGTGTTGCCAAGTGAATTAAGGGTCAAGGCGTGGGCCGGGAGGCATAGAAAGGCTCTAGGCAGAAGAGGAATGGTCTGAGAGGGGAAAAGTCGACAACAGGGCATGAATCGGTGCGTTCGTCTTGGTTGAAGAGAAGGATCGCCTAATGTCAACACAAAAACGATCCATCATCTCGGCAACTACATCTACCGAGGGGTCGAGAGCAGCCGTGCAAACTACACTAGAGGATGCTCACGACTCCGGAAAAAAGGGACCGCTGCACATCGAGAGGCCTCAAAAGCAGATATCGCTTGTGTGATTCTGGTTTATTGCTGTCTGCCATTGAAGAGATGCTTGTCGGCGTGGAACTTCACTCTCGCCAGTTTCAACCCCTCTGCACAAGAAAGTTGGCGTAGAAAGCCAAAACACCCCGAAACGCACGCGAGAAATGTGTGGCAGACACTATCATGAGAAAGAGAAGCAAAAGACCAGGCCGGAACAGCACCAGACAAAAAAAAAAAAAAAGCTACCAACAATATTTCCTTGAACACACAAGCACGGCGTTTCTCGGATAGTGACATGTTGGACGGTGATGCAAGACCTCCAAATATAAAACGCAATTGGAATGAAAATAACACACCCAAGACGACCTTTCGCTCGTATTACCATAGCACCACCACCCACGCAAGTGCAAGAAAAAGAACGCTACCACCGCACGCAGTAGTGGTTCCTAAACCAGACCGCGTGTACAATGCCCGGTCACCCTGAACAAGGCCTGTGAAACCATGCATGACACATGAAACATCCAAGACTCTTGTGAAAATAACGCCGGATGCCCAGAATTTGGCCGGAGAAACTTCGGGTGGCAGCGTGCGGCCTTGCAGAGGAATAGACATAAGCAAACACGACAATAGAACAAACCTCACCTCGTCCGGAGCCGCGAACTCGAGCTTTGCTCTCGTCTTGCGCTGCAGGGTGACCCTCTTGATGGCCAGAAGAGTGTTCTTCTTCTTGTCCCCGACAACCACCCACCACGCCTCCGTCTTGGACTTGGGGTACAAGGGGGCACACACCTGGACACGAAAACGGTGGGGGGTAAAACAATATAATCGGGTATGTAGGTACACGGTAGAGGTCCCTGTTTAGTCCCGGTGTTTTCGGCGGGCATACACTAAATTTCGAAGTCATTGTCAATACTTTGAATAATGCCCGTGAATTTCCGCGCACGTACCGGCACTAACCAGGGACCTCTACTGTACTCTGCTGCGCGGGACAAAAAACAAGTCTTAACAATGGTTCATACGTGACGTACATCTGTAAGAGTTGATACGCTTCATTGTTCAGACAAATATACCCGAGGTTGGAGCGCCAACACAAAAAATAGGCCCCAGCACACACACTACAGTATTACGCCATGTACGTGCAATAATCGAAAACAAACCGAGCAACCGTGTGAATCCGTGTTCACCTGTGTGTCAATTTGACAAAAAAATGGTGCGAGGTGGGCACACACTTGCATGGAGTCTCCTTGCACACATGCGCCGAAATTTGCACTTCGTCCCAATACAAGCTAACATATCAATCATTTTACGATGACGCACCCGCGACCGTGAGTCCTAGAAGTGATTTCACTCTCGCCGCGCACAGCTACAGCGGTACCACCAGAAGGCACACACGACCAAGCGAACCGAGAATGCCGACACAGGGGCAAAGCACTGACCTTGCCCCAGCCCCCCTCGGGTTCGTCCTCGTCCTCTTCCCCCTCCCTCTCAAGGGATACCACCAGGGTCACGGGGTCCCCGGCCGTGATGTCGTCGCTCTCCTGCACCTCGAAGTCCATCTCCACGTTCGGGAAGGCGTTGCAGAAGTTCGCCACGTCCCCCATCTTGCTCTGCGGCATGTCCAGCAGCCTGTCCCTCTCGTCGTCCTCCAGACCCATGATGTCGAACGGGGTCTCGACTCCTGCATCCTCGCATCTCTGTTAAACGGTTTCATAGCATAGCATTGTTAAGGAAGGATACGAGAAGAAGGACTTAGCAACGAGAGGCAGACCGACCATCAAATTTGACCACTGATGTTCGGTTTCGTGTTTTGAGATATGCGTGCAACCCGCACTTTCGGAGTCCAGAGAGGGGATACAATAAAGGTATGCTTCGCACTGCGTCAAATATTTGTTCGGTTTCATCCCTAAAAGAGATGTTCAGAGAGTTGTGCATGCAACAAATATATATTCCGTCCCGATGTTGAATCCAACAAGCAAAGCTAATGCGACCCCTTTTCGATGTCGCTGAAATTCGCAGAAAGCCAGAATGCTATGACGAAAAAAAAAAGAAAACGCAATGGTTATTTGGTTGCGCCAGGTTAGAACGGAAACACTTCTCCCAAATGGAAAATATCATGCCCCCAGGCTGGTACTAAAAGTATGAAGCTACGACGCCGATTTCATACAACCTCTCCCATAACACGTCAGAACACATCGAGGATGGCGACACGTGGACTGGCAGTTGGGAGTCCGACCCCCAGCGGAGGCGCAACTTTCTTGTTGACCAAGAAATAGAAGCGCGTCTTCAACTTCCACGCTGAAATAAGTGTCTCTCAAGAGGTTAATCTGCGAAATTCGGCATCGCCCAAAAATGAAGATGAGGACCGCATCGAGTCCCGCAAGAGACATGAGTCACGCAACTCTACGCCCTTGCGCACGACAAACTGTGCAAAAGTTTGGGCGGGGACTTCGACAAAAAACAAAAAAAATCCCACGGTGCCACCGAGACAAAGATGCGCCATGCCAGAAAAAGAACCCTTCTCGCCAAGAAAACCTATCTTACCTGGATCACTTCGGGCGAGAAGTGCGGGATCTGTCGCAGGTAGCTGTCCTTCGCCCACACCCCTTGCACCATCATCTGCGACAGCTCCATCGCTTCGAGGGCAGGCTTGAGCCAGCCGTTCGACGAGATCACGTCCACCACCGCTTGCAGCAGCCGAACAGAGTCCAGCAGAACCACCTGAAAAAACAACAAAAAACCACTTGTTACATTCATTGATACAACATCAAAATTCAAAACCAATCACGTAAACCGTCTGGTCTATTCGCTTATGGAGTATTGCCCAGCAATCTCGGTACGATCTTTCAAAAATCACAAATATACCTTTTTCGTTGTCCCAGGGGTTGAAACACAAGTGAGAGCTATTTATGTTCTTGATGGCAGATGTACGGTTCAAACATCGGATACCTTCCATCCGAATGAAATATTCCACATGTTGGCCAACTAAACTATCTCATGCCGCAAAGCTAGCGACGGTTGCCTCTCTCCCCCCTCTACGTCTCCCTTTCCTCCTCTCCCCCCCACCTCTGGGCCTGGTTCTTGGCCTTACCTTCTGGTCTGCTCGGAGGTCCGTGGACAGCGCCGTCCTGCTGAAGTGGCTCTGCAGCAACACGTGGGCCTTTGCGTTGGTGTCCGAAAACTGCCACTCGTTCGGAAGCTGCGCATTATCATAAGAGCGGCAACAAGAGTGGAAAATGAACATGACGTGAGGAGATTCAGTACAACTGCTGAGTCGAGTGCCGAACAAACAAGTAGGTTTGTTTCGGCACAAGAAAATGTGTTAGGTAAACGATAATGTTATGTAAAAACTTCACAGTTTTTGGTTTGGGGACAACATATCGGGGGAAAGCCCAACATCTGGATATCACTCGTGTGGCATGCAGCAAGATAATCGGCGTTTGCGGCAACAAACCAAACAAGCCAAACATTCCCGCTCTCAACAAGGAACGGCAGACCAGCCTCCGTACAAAGCCACCAACACGCAATTGCTTTCGATGTTGCTCTAAAATGGTATTCTTGCCGTCCAAATCACCACGCTTTCTTACCTTCTGAGGGAGGTGGTGCGCCAGCATCTTGAGGGCCTTCTCCTCCTGCTGCCTGACAGGGAGCTCGTTGAACTCGGAGGCCGATGCCACGATGTCCAGCAAGCCCCTGTCGCCGCAAGAGGTCACGCCGTTCGACATAAAGAGCAGCCAGGGCACCCAGCAGCAGAAACAATGCAAGCAATCAGGCTGGAGGTCCAATCAAGCTGTAACGTAATGCCGGGGCTTTCTTGGAGGTCTTGGGGGTGAAATCTTACCAGGCAAGCTTTTCAAATCAAAGGCCACAGATCTTGGAGCGAAGTGAACGGTTCTTTACAAATGAACCTGGATTGAGCCCAAACAACAGCCATAGGTTGGAAGGACGCCAGTATTTACCTGGATCACACAGAGGAGACAATAGCAAGGTTCCTGATAAAACGAGATTAGCGGAGAGCTCGACGATCGTGTGCTACAGCTGCGATCGAACAGTGGCATCATCCACGACCAGCAACGACAGCCACCAAGACAAGAACAAACAACGCAAGCATCATGAGAGGATCACAGAATACCCATAAATGACCCAAGATACCGCATCCCTTGATCAATTTTCAAAGCTCGATTACGCCATGACGAAGAGGATGCATAAATGAAACAATACATTTTCGGAAAACTCTCGACGAGACAGCTTTAACGCCACCGTTTCGGCGCTGTGACTTTTTCTGTCGTTGAGAAATCGAGATTTGAAAAATTTGGCCAGGGTGTGTGTTATCTTGTGTCATTTGCGGTATCTCGCCTGAGCTTCGTCTTGGCCGTGACAGAGTTGGCGAAGAGCTCGATGGTGGTGTACTGCAGGTAGTAGTACGCGGCGATCATGCCCAGGTTTAGCGCGCTGAGGTTCATGTCGTCCTCGACGGACACGGCCCTCGCCTCCTCGAGGTCCCCCACCACACGCTCCACCTTCGGATAGAGTTAACACGCAAAGCAGCATTGGGTCAAGGCTTTGAACAAAAGAGATGGGTCTGCTATAGTCAAGCTCCAACATTGGGGGCGGGGATGGGTTTGCCCTGACCCCTTACAGGCACCGGCTTGGGTCTTCAAAACACGGAAAACGGTAGACAACAAAACCAATAAACACAACGAGCTTTTCTCACCAGCTCGCTCAAGTGGTCGCTGAGATGCCTGTGGGAGCTGCCCCCCATGTCGTAGTAGTTTGGGTTCTGTGTGAGCCTGCGGTAGTAGAACGTCCACGTGAGGTAGTCCACGGCATCCTGTTTGTTCTCGATCGTCTTCGTCACCACCTGGTATGGTACGATCAACACGACGCCGGGAGGGAACGTCACACGATGAATCATGAAACCGTCAACAGACATGGATAGGACCGTGTGAAAAGCGAGAGATCGGGCACACAACAACAACATGAATCATCACACAGGATAATGCCCAACGCGCTTCCTTCCCGGCGTATCAGGGCGCCATTTTTACGTCAGTATGCATCGCCAATGCTGCTGCGCATTGCAAAGTACGGGTACGGGCTGGCAAGAGGCAACTCACCTCGGAAACAAGACTACAACATGCTCTCGGCCACGGGAATGCTCCGGTACTACATACCGCACCCGTAGCGACAAGCTCAAGGACAAGTGAAAACACATATATGAATGCGCAATTTGCTTAGTCATCCTGGTTTATTTTCTTTTTCGGGTAGAGATGGATATGTAGTGCTCACATGTAAGAAAAACACGAGCAGCAAAAAAAGGGACTCTAACGCACCTCGGCGTTCATGTGCTCCGCCATGACATGGTCGAGGTGGCTCTCGATCGGCAAGGGGTCGTACAGGAGCTTGCGGATGTACTCCCGCTTCGGGGTGTGGCACAGGAGAACCCCGCGCCCGCTGCTGTCGAGCAGGGGCCTGCAGGTTGGTTTTGCACGTGGTACCGGCGGGACATTTACCTCGTCTGTTAGCAAATAGCATTCGTAGTATCGATGTTTGCGCTCATATCGTTGTTTTTGCCCTTGTAGTTGTTGTTGTTGTTATTGCTGCTGACGCTGTTAATGCTGTTGTCACATAAAAGTCTTCCGGTCTCTGCTCACCACGTCTGACATCCGCACCGGTCCAATAACTGGAGCGCACATACGTCTCCCGTGGTCACCGCCTTCCCGCCCTTAAGAGGTGTCTATGCAAGACGTCCCGACCATCGAATCAGCTCAACGAAAATAAGCAGCAGCCGGCTCAACACATTCTCCGTAGCAGCGCGTGGTTGAAAACCGCATCATTCCACGGAACGCTTCGCGGATTCTTCCACGGCGGTTTGGTCACCTGGAGGCAAGGCCGGTCATGTGCAGGAGGTCCGTCACCGGGTAATCGACGTACTTGTGTTCCCTCCCGTCGTACGACTCCGTGCCCATCACCACCACCAGGCTCGCGGAGAGGTCTAAGCTCCAGCACATGCCGAAGGGCACCACTAGCACCTGCATTGCCAAGTATGTATCACAAAAAAATCGAAAGGGTCAGTGAGAAGTAGCGCTAAGGAAGAGCGGTGGGAGGCTTCACGATCGATGCTTACGTCAAGTGCGTAGAAAAGAATTGCGGACAGCAAAAGCGGAAGGGTACCACTATAATAGCACCTGCTTACCAAGTTTTTGTCAAAAAAAAATCAAACGGGTCAGAAACGTAGCGCTAAGGAAAAGCGGAACTGCATGTAGGTGCTGGTACGAGGTTTCACGGCCGCATACTAGTAAGTTGCGGCCAGCACATGCCAAAGGGTGCCACCAGCACCTGCATTGTCAAGTTGAAAACAAAATCAAACGGTCAGCACCGTAGTAGTGGCGAGAAAAAACGGGAAATAGGAGTGCCGGTACATTGCTCCGCGGTCGGTGTGTACGTCAAGTGCATAGAAGTGAGTCACGACTAACCAGCACATGCGTGCCAACTATTGATTCCTCTTCCAAGCGCAACGCCGAGCAGGATCAGTTCTATTCTCCCTCAAGGGCCAAACACACCCGCGCACCTTGATGATGCCGTCCCTGTACAGCCCCTCCACCCGCTTCCGGTCCGCCTCCAGCATGCCCTGGTGCACGAAGCCCACCCCGTGCCCCAGTGTCTGCTGCAGGGCCGCCTCCCGCACCGTCTCCACCACCGGGGCGATCTCTTCCTCCGCGACCGTCAAGAACCTGTTCGGCTCGCCGTCTGCCGCGGCGTAGGTGACCATGTCGATGGCCGTAAGCTGGCTCTGCTTCCTCGGAGGGGACGAACACGATGGCCGGCTTGTTGTCCGGGGCTGGTCAAATTGGGGAGGACGGGAAGTTGGAGGGGGGGGGGGGGGGGGGGCGTACTCATTGTCGTGCATGCCGTAGTCGTTAGACCATTGACCTCGCATCCCTACAAAGTCGGGACGGGGCACGGCGGGTTCTCACCGGACCAGGCTCGGAAGTTGGAGCGGGTAGGCTCAAAAACGCTTCAAATTTGGAAAATCGGGAGCTGCGAAGGGATGCTCGTACATCTACATTTACCAGAACGGTCCCCCCGCTATCCTGAGTCTTCCACCCGGCGGAAACAACAACAGGCCAGGACCACAGCAACAGCAGCAATGCCACCCACCAGCGCATCCCACTGCCACGTAGTTGTAGGCCGGCTTGGCCATGGCGAGCATGCGAGACCCGAAGTGGTTAACGTCGAAGCCGTGCAGCTTGATCTCCAGCGGGACGGGCCTAACGTCCGGACGGAAGCTGACGAGAGAGTGCGCCGTCGCCCCGATCCAGTCACCGACGTCCTTCGCGTTAGCCAGCGAGGCGGAAAGCCCGACAATGCGGCACTGCAAAACAGCACAAAAAACACAGCGCACAAAACAGCGGGTGGTGTTCGCGAAATAAAAGTCATTTCGCTGAGCGTGTGGCACGCCTGCTGCTGTACGAGCGGGAAAAGATCGATGTCCCTTGCGGTAGGTGAAGCATACAAGTAGTCGTTCCTGCCGAACGTGAAGCGGTTGGATAGCCGGGGTGCCCAATCAACCCACGCATAATACTCTGGTTTTGCAGCAAACGTGCACGTGCAGAGAGTGTCACAATGTAGTAAAAAGTCGCTTGCAAAACACAGCTAACAATTTGTTTGCCGAGGAGCTACTGCTGTAGGTAGCTCCATTGTCACATAGAAGAGTGCCTCCCTATCCACCCCTCCTGCGGCGATTGCCTTCCATCGATAACGCGACAAGAGTGAAGAGCTCGCTTCCGTCAAAAGAACTACAGCCGCCCTTTCCGCTACCAGGAACGGAAGCGAGAGGCTCGAAAAAGATCAAAAAAGGTTTCGGGTGAACGCGAGAGAAGATACCGTACCTTCTTCTCGAGCTGGCTGCTGATGTATCTCATGCGGCTGACGACGACCTCGAGGGTGGGCCCTTCTGGCCCTCCGAGGAGGTGAAGCTCGTCGGCGATAAGCAGGGCCACGTCCTGTCGTATTATCCGCAGTTACACAGCAAGCAACATAAGCATGTACATACAGCAACCGTTGTGTGCCACAACAAAAGAAAAGAAACAACCAAACGAAACGGAATGGCCTCCCCAACTCAACAACCAAACCAAATTCAACAAAGCGAGACTATTGAACACCCCCATCATTTATCGTTGTCTTGCAGAAGTAGTAAACAAAAATCGAGAAAACAAGGGTGCTTCTCTAAGTTTGTCAGTCAGACCGACCCTCCCAAGTACCTGAACGTTCTTCCGCTGCTTCCACCTCCGGCTGAGCGCGTCCCAGTGCTGCGCCGTCGCCACGATCACCCTGCCCCTCTCCAGCAGCTTCAGGTCGGCCGCCGCTTCCCCCGTTAGCTCGACCACGGTCTTGCCGAGGCCCTCGCCGATGCTCTTCGACCATCCTCGGAACCGCAGCGAGGCGATCTGCGTTCCATGGTTTAGTTCGAGACAAGGCGGGAGTGGGGAGGTCAAGGACGGTGAATCACAGGACATATGCCCTCATGTCTGCCCCGAAATGAAAACGTAAACAAAGATACACACGCACACTGCGTTCCATGGGTTCGTTTTCCGTTCGTTTCGGACAATACGGGACAAAACGGGACGGTCGCGGGGGTCGATCAGGCCCAGCTGCTGAATCACGGGGCATGCCGTCATGCCTTCCCCGAAATATAAACTTGAAGAAAAAAAGAGAGACAAACACAACGAGATGAGTGAATAATTTGGAGACAAAAATTTGGAGACAAGAATACCAAAACAAACCATTTTCCAGCGCTGCTCGCCGTCTTTCTTACGTGTCCTGTGTGAGCATTGGTAATGCTTGTGTTTTGGTACAAACATACTTTTCTTCAGTGCTCTCACGTCTTACCTACAGTGACGGGTCCTTTGTGGCTACCCTACCCTAAACAAAAAAAAACATAGAAACAAGCACATACATGGACACCCCCATCTGATATTCATCCCTGGCAATGCCATCGTGCCATCATTTGCACACATACATACCTCGGCCTTGGGGGCGATGTACACCGCCCTTGCCGTGGGGTTGGTCGTGAAGAGGCGCATGAGGGCCAGCTCGGCGCAGGCCGTCTTGCCGCTGCCCGTGGGGGCGCACACGAGCACGTTCGCGTCTCCGTCGTGCAGCTCTTGGAACACCTACGTATGCGTGTAAGGCACAATAACGATTTAAGGGATGTTATTCATGTTTGCCGTCGTATAGCGCTTGGAACACCTACACGGAACGCACATGAACAAGATAAGGGAGAGTACTATAGTGTAACGGCATATTTAAGTTTGCCGTCGTGCAGCTCTTGGAACACCTACATGTGCATGTGTCGCACAAAAGCAAGCAAAGGGACACTACCATACTTGCCGTCCTACAGCTCTTGGAACACCTACACACACGGAAAACACAAGAACAACTTCGCGTATAGCATCATCAATCTGAGGTAGTTTCCGTTCGCCGCGGTGCAGCTATTCGGAAAACAGCAGTACTAAGGACCCTCTTTTTTTCATTGTATTCACCGTCGGCTTCGTTGGGCACGAGAAAGAACGTCATCGACGGTACAATAGATGAAATGATCAGCCTGGTCGATAGTATGTATTCGATACCTGGGTCTGAATGGCGTTGAAGAACTGAATCCCCTTCTCCGAGTAGACCTTCTCGAACGCCGGGTTCTTCAGGGCCGACACCGGCAGAGGCTGCAGGTCCAGGAGTTCGCTGTGAGGCGGGTACTTGGCGGGGAGGATGAGGTTCCGGAAGCTCACCGGAAGCACGGCCTCGCTGTGCATCCACCTGTCGTCGAAGGGGCGGTGATAAGGTGATGAGGATAAGGAAACGGTTGATGGGGCAAAACGGCTTCGGGCAAAATGTGCATCCACCTTTTGCAAGGGAAGATGATCAGGAACAGGAAGCGTAAGGGGGGATGACCGGCTTCGGGTTTATGTGCATCCACCGGGCGCCAAAGGGACGATGATAAGGATAAGGAGGCGGTAGAGACCTCGGGTTATGGCGCATCCACCTTTACAACGCACGATAGTCAGGACAAGGAAGCGGTAGGGGGGCAATTCCTTCGGGAGTACTTTTGTGTCAAGCATGCAGGCACCCAAACTAAAATCATGCGGATACGGGATAAAGTAGATTGTCATATAAGTGGCTCAGGGTGATGGGGATCAGGGAAGAGTAAACTAGGAACGGCGTTGGGTTGGGTACATCTTACACCCACGGGGAAAAACAAAAGAACATGCATATCGAGGAGCAAAAAAAAACGTACTAGGACGACGGTATTCGTGGACAACAAGAGGTAGAGGGGGGGGGCAGCAGTCTCTGGCTGCCCATTACCCTACAACTCGCGCGGTTACAGCGCGAGGCGGGAAGGGAACGATGCAAGGTAATAATCATGGTACTGCTCCTCTGTTAAGGGATGGTCTGTTGAACACATGACAGGCAGGAGTTAAGAGGGAAGCTCGCCATGCACATGGGAGACGAGGGGAGGAAGACCGAGAGGGAAGCAGGCATCAGGCCTGCCCGCAGGAAGTGACGCGGACACGTAAGACTGCAACGACTTCTACGAACCGTTGTGCACGCCTTTCCGATCGTACCGTGGCGTACTCTTTTCTCATCGTGCCGTTGTGCACGCTTTTCTGCTCGTTATCGTGTGAGCCATTATCTGCTATGCATACGTGCCTTCAAGCACAAACGGACGTGTTCCCGAAAAAGGCAGCATTCTGACAGCACACACAACAACGTCCACCCTCCCAGAGATCCACCCACAACACGCAAAAAAAAAAAAAAAACGTTCGCAGCGACGCAAGTCTTCTCGCTTTTCTTCGAGAATATCACCGGTCGCCCCACCTGTCGGAGATAACCTTGATGAAGTAGTTGGGCGGAAGGGGGTCCTTGATGGGGACGGTGAAAGACACCATGTGCTCCTTATCGGCGTACTGCTGCTTGAGCAGGAAGGGCTCGTGGTGGAGAATCTTCTCGCCGTCCACATCCTCCACCAGGATCCAGAACAGAACCGCGTAGTCGTGAACCTGCGGGAAGAACAGAACAGAACACAAATGTTCGAAGGGAAGATTAGAATAGAATGAGTATTTTTGCGGGATCCAGACCTAAAACAGCGTAGTTCGTGAACCTTGCGGGAAGAATAGAGTTAAACCACATCCGCGTGGAGTAGAAAATAGTACATAGAAACGAAAAGGTTCGACGACAAAAACACAAGACAACGGAAGTGGGATTATGTTTGATGTTGTCACCATGGTCCCTTGCTTCCTTGCACGATACGGCCCACTCAGTCTTTCCTAACAACAACAGCGATGCTGCTCGCCACGACCCATGTGTACAATCCGATTGTACTTCCAATCTCAAGTAACCAACCGAAAACAAAGAGTACGCCACAAGATGCCGCAACAAACAGGTACAAATATCTTGTTCACAAAACCAGGAGATGAACGAACACCGAAACGTTGGGAGGACGAACCCCTCTCCGAAACAAAAACAGCAGGCATGACTTCTTGTACCTTCTGGACGAAGAGGAAGTCGGGCATTAAGGTTAAAAAAGCAAAAACACGAAAAAACATACCTTCAGGTCGAAGAGCAAATCGGGTATTAAGATTCAAAAAACAACAACGCAAATATCATATCTTCTGGTCGAACAGGAAGTCGGTAACAGCGGTTAAAAAAAATGCAAAAAGCATACCAGTACTTGTACCTTCTGGTCGAAGAGAAAGTCGGGAATAACGGTAACAAAAAAAAAAAAGCAAAAAGCATACCTTCTGGTCGAAGAGGAAGTCCGGCGTGATGGTGAGCTCCACCCTCAGCAGCGCCCGCGTGATCGGCTGCACGCTGGCGGCTAGCTCGACGCGTGGGAACTGGTGCACCAGACGGTGAAGCGTCTTGCCCATCCTAGGCAGCTTCACCAGCTCACCCAGGTCGGCCGGCTTCAGGTCGTAGTACCTGTGTTCATGTTCATGTCGAAAATTGCCGCAAAGAGTGACACAGTGCGCTTTTCGACACGAGTCTACCCTCACAAGTCGCACCGGATGTTCAGTGGGAAGGCGGAACATTTCGGTGCACTTCGATAGCAATCACGGAAATATCCATTCAACGTGGTGGAATGAATCTTGGGATTTTACCTGTCCCACGCGATCTCCTTCCTCTCTAGCTTGCGCACGATCACCTCCGGCAGGAGGCGGAACTGGCGGAGAGGGCTCTGGCTCAACCAGCACCTGGGGGAAAAACAACAAAGGGTAGATAAAAAAGGGTCATTGATGAATGCACATGTGTACCACAAGTGTGGACGAATGTGGCGAAACATCCCACCGCAGCTATCGCGAAGAGGCAAGTGTAGGAACGACGACAGCGAGAAAGGCGGCGGTGGGAATGTTAGCATCAAGAGAGCAAGACGAACGCTGAAAACGTGGTGAGGATGCAGGATTGACGAGAGGAGAGGAGCTGCATCGGCGAGCAGAAAAAGTATCGTACAGCACAGCCACCGCAACGATTTTACGCTAGCGTGAACTCCGTAACAAGCCTTTCGTATTCCCTGTCGCACATTCATAGGGTCTTCTAACAACAACAACAACAACAACAGCACGACAACTACAGCAACCAAACCACCACGAGCCTTGCATCGATCACAATCACCTCCTCTCCACCATCTTGCACAGGTCCAGCGTCTTCTCAGCCAGGGCAGCCCACCCCCTCTTCAGGGCAACCTCGAACAGAGCCCGGCAAAGCCGCGCCGCCGACTGCTGCACGTACGTCATGTCCGACACCAGAGCATAACCCTCGAGCTTGAGCTGGCTGATGAACGCCTGCAGGAGGGCATTCACCTGACAAAAAGGCGGCGTGTTTACACATGCGGCGGTAATGCGCGGGGATACAAAGATTAGCGGGAGAAACTTGGTAAATTAACACAGAAAGCTGGTTGAGGCAATCGTGCCAACGCGGCAGCTCTAACTTGTGGTCTACGCCAGCAAGGAGGAGTTCACCCGAAAAAAGGTGGCGTGTCGTTTTACAGTTGCCGCGGTTTCAACGGTTCAACCCCATAGCACCTTTGCCGTGGGCTCGTCCACGCTCTCCTTGATCGGAATGGGCACCCTGCTTGCCAGCCTGCCAAGCTCAAGCTTCTCCTCGTCCTTCACCACGATGTGCGAGAACTCTCCCGACAGAGAGAAGAGCCTGGCAATCACGGCGGGGAGGGGTCCGAGAAAAACGGCATTTGAGGGGTGGGGGGGTGGGGGGCGAAATGGAGGGATCGTCTTCCACGTTGATTTACAAAGATTCGGAAAAACTTCTCCTGTGCGACAATCAGCATGGCAAGGTGTTCAGATGCGGCTGTGGGGGAGCTCAGGGCAAGGGTGGCGCTATGGAGCCCAGTGCACACCTCCTCACCGGAGTCCAATTGATGGAGATGCCCCGGGGGTTCCCTTCGGAAAGATAACGACGCGCCACCTCTCCTTCCGCACAAAAAACACCGCCATCAATTGGGAAAGGTTACAATACTCCCTCTAGGCTACGTGTTCATACTGCTGGAAGGGGGGTGCCTGGGTAGCAACGTTTGCTATATCGTCATCCGCACGTACGCCCCTGTTCCTGTCCCGCGAGGCACCTCGTGAATGATGATTGATGATTGCACTCATCCGACGAAAACACCAACCACTGCTTGGAGAATATGCCCTAGTGGCGCGAGTGACCTCCCCCTCCCCCGTAGACCGCCTTCCATAGCTCGATCGACTGCTCCGGGGCCAGGAGGGCGCGTCCAAACCGCTGATAGGCCTAAGGAATCAACCCCTTCTCGGCAGTGGTGGCGGAGCAGTCGAGCCACGGAAGCCGTTCTACGGGAGGAGCATACATAAACCATAAATTTACAACTCCTAAACAACGGCGTGGCCCACGCACAACACTCTCCCCGCTCATGTCTATTATAGGGCGATAACCCTTCGATAAGAAAAATGGTTGGAACCGTGAAACGAGAGTATTCGTGATTGCCTTGTCAGCCTGCGTCGATAGCAACAAGAGAGAGAAACACGAACGCCGGGCTCCAACCACAACGTACCTGAAGATCTCGATGTCGCTCATGGTGGGCTTGAGGTACTCGTTGTACCGGGCCATGGTCTGGTGGGTCACGTAGAAGTACGACGCCACCCTGCCGAGAGGGGTCGGCTGGAAGGTCTTGCCGCTCCTGTCGTATTTGATAAGGTTGGTCTTGTCGAGGATGGTTGCCGCCGTGTGGACCTGTGGTTGACCACACGAGAACGAGCGGTAACAGAGAAGGGGGAAATGAGCCAATACGGGCGTGTCCAAGAGCTCGCAAGCACAAAAAGACGGCGGGAACGACGACGCCGACGATACCACCACCACCAACAACAACAACAACAACAACAACAACACCAAAGAGGATCTGTGTGGCTGGGGTGCGCCCGCGCAATTGTACAGGCCGACGGGAGGAGAGCGAAACAATACAGACAAATACGCAAAAAAACAAAAAAACACACCACAGCAAGACAAAAAGACACCGGCATTTGCTAGGGAATCAATAAAAATACAACAAGCACAGGTACCTCTCTTCCACAGCGGCAACGGCAACGGCAACAACAACAACAACAAAGAAGGGCGCTACTCACCAAGTCCACCCTGAACTGCAGCAGCACGGGGTCATTGTCCAGCTGGTCCGGCGGCACCCTGTAGACGCCGGGGTTCTGCATCATCCTCACGTACAGGTACGTGTACCCCAGCCACTGCGCGGCCTCTGCGACACTCTGGACGGTGCCTTGGACGATCTCCGCGTTGAGGTTGTCCGCGAGCTTCGACACGTACTGTTTTTCAGTGTTTGCAAAAAGGGGCGAGTGTAGACGGCGGCACGAGGTGGGGGGGGGGGGGGGGTACTCATGTTTCCCATGCCGAACTGTGGGAGTTTTGACGAGAAGCGTTCGGAAGGTCTGAAGAGCACCTGTAGCTGTAACGATCTCCCCCGGGGTTTAACACGTCACTCACAACGGGATTGTGTTTGTGCAATGTTATCCGAAGCGACAGGGAGAGAGAGAGAGAGAGAGAGAGAGAGAGAGAGAGCGATAGAGAGGGATGGGTGCAGGCAAGCATCAGACATCATGATTGTGATGTCCGTACTTCCCGAGAGAGAGAAAGGCACCTCCGATCGGCAGAGAAATTGACAGAAGGGAGCAAACTTAGGAGGCTCGTGGGACTGGTGTCGTCGTCGTTTTCGCCTTGACATCGGAAATTTTTTTTTGACCTCTGCCCAGTACCCTATCTAGCACCCGCGTACTGCTCCAACTAACGCGGACACCTCCGTGGCCAAAGACTAACTACCCAACAGCGTTGTATCCATGAATAACTCGAAAGAAATACACAAAACCACCACCACAACTGCAACAACAACAAAAATCACAACCACAGCAACCAATAGCGTCAAGAGGTTCACCTGGCTCTCGATGGGCAGCTGCTGGTTGTTGAGGCTCAGGTAGTACTGGAGCTCGCTGTGCTGCGTGATGACGATCGCTTCTCCCTCGGAGTCGTACTGAGGACGTCCAGCACGCCCCATCATCTAGAAACCCATCCATCAATCAATCCACGGTTCAACAAAGACACGGGGCAGGGGTTAAAAACAGTCGAACATGGAGCGATCAATCGAACATGGAAGCGTGTCTTCTTTACATTCATGCTCTCGGGAAGAGACTACAGGTTGAGGACACACACGGCTTTTCGTTTAAACGGGTGTCCTTAAGCCGGCCGGGGAAAGTGTCCTTAAGGTTGATACTCCTCCTGATGTTGTACATTCTGCGAGCCACCATGCCTATGAAAAAAAAGTTGTCCGTAACAGGGGGAGCGTCCTTAACAATAGCGTCCTTATCCGAGGTATGACTGTAACTGGAACATACATATCAATCAAGCGCTCACGCAGGAGATACAACCCAGCGAACAGACAACAACGTTCGCAATCCGACAAAAAATAACGATTGGTAAACGAACCCCAGTGGTATCGAAGGCCGTCACTCTACAGGCAGGGCCGAAAAACAAAAAGATACAACACGAACCGGTGTTGGAGGATGAAGCAAAATCGCTCGACGTGTCGCAGGGAACCACACACATAAAAAAACACTGCACCTGCAAGATGTCGAGGGGTGACAGCTCCACCCACTTCCCCTTCTCCGGAGAGTACATCTGGGTTCCCTTGAGGATCACCGTGTGTGCGGGAAGGTTCACACCCCACGCCAGCGTGGCCGTAGACACCAATACCTGTGGTCGTTCATCAGGTGTTGGCTGTAATTGTTGGAAGGTTGTTCTCGTCGTTGTTGTTGGTAGGTTGATGTGTTGTTGTTGAGGGAGGAGGAGGAGGAGGAGGAAGAGGAGGAGGAGGAGGAGGAGGAGGAAACGTAACTAAATGAAATAAAATAATCAATACATGTTGGGACGCGAGGCAAAGAAGAAGAAGAAGACAGACCACACCCACCTGGATATGCTTGTCTTGGAAGAGGTCCTCCACCAGCTGGCGGTCGCCCTTGGGGAGACCGGCGTGATGGATCGCGAACGAGTAGCCTAGCACGTCCTGTCAAGGATAAAAAAAACAATAAAAAAAATATCAACGAGGAAGGTATCGATACGCTTGGTGCTGTTTGGGAGGGGTACGTGATATCAAAAGGAAGACAGCAGTACACTTTGCGCTATTTCGGTGGTTGGGGGGGGGCACGTGGTATCACGAGGAAGGCAGCAATACCCGTTTGGGGGGGGGGGGGTACGCGGTAGGAATCACCTTGAGGTCTTCGTTCTTCGCTTCGGCCGCCATCTCCTTGAGGATCTCCGCCGAGGCCGAGTCTTCCTTCATGAAACTCGTAACCGTGTCTCGGTCCACGGTCATGTCCCTGGCACAACGGTAAATAGCATTCGTAATCACCCAAGGTTCGTTGATAAAAAACACAGAACAACATGTCCCTGGCACAGCGGTAGCATTCGTAATCACAAAAAGTTCCGTTGAGAACGATCACAGCATACGTTTCATCATGAAACTCGTCGTCCAACAGTGGTAGCATCCACAGAAGGAGGGCCGTCGTGAAATCTGCATGGTATGGTCCATATACAGACAAACAGATGGTAATATTGTGTATTACAGCGACATGTCTCTCCCCCCCGCTATGTCTGTCTGTCTGCCTCTCTCTCTCTCTCTCTCTCTCTCTCTCTCTCTCTCTCTCTCTCTCCCTTTCCCTTCCTCTCACCTGAGCGCTTTGGCGGTCTTCGCGGTTTCGGCCCTAGAGTGCACGAAGATTAGGACCTGGTTTCGCCCTGCCTGGGCCATCACCTGACAAACACATAGGGCCCGCACATCACGGCAAGATATTGTGTTGTACTGGTGCACATTTTCGTCTTGACTTTCTCATGGTATAGTATGCACCCTGGGCAATCACCCGACAAAACGGTGCCGATACATCAAGGTAAGACATTGTACACAAACGACTCGTCTCTTTGAGTTTTCATGATATGCATCCTTCGGGGTAGTTGACGTGCGACCACTGAAGATGTCTGCGTCAGTGGCGACCAGTTCCAGAACAGAGATCGGAATGAATTGAAATGGAATATCAAGGCCACAACAACGAACAACAACAAACAACTAACAACAAACACACCCACCTTCTCGTAGCAGATCTCGTTCATGAGCTGGAACCTCTTGATGGCCTTCTTCTCCGTGACCCCGATGTACTGCTGCTGCAGGGGCACCGGCCGGTAAGAGTTATCGAAGTAGAACAGACCCTTCTCCGGGTTAACGTTCAGGAACGTAGCCACATCCTCGTAGTTGGGCAGGGTGGCCGAAAGCCCGACGATCCGGACCATTTCCTGTTTCGGGGGACGCGAGACATGACAAGGGAATTGCTATCAACGCAGCGGATGTCTCGTAGTCTGGACGTGCGTGGCCGCAAAAGGTGCATATTGTAGTCTGCACATACAGGCCCACAAAGTATGCAGAGATTGGTGGGGCTCTCATCCCTGAACAAATCTGGAACGGACCATGAAAGCAACTACTTATTACCGCCATGGATGGCAGGAACACATGACACGCAATAGGTGTTGGGGGGTTAGTCATGGCATACGGCTGTGCACGCCCGTAGATGTGTAAGAAAGCGTCAAAAACGAGTCGAGGCTCGACATTGTTACTCGTCGCCGTCGTCGAGTACTAGTGAATACTACAATAGAGTACAAACAAAGGATAAAACGCTGAGCTAGCTGTGTCTTGGCCGTATTTTCATTTTTTCGTGAGCGTTTGAGCCGACGTTCTACAGCATTTTTTCTTCACTACGGGCTCCCACTAGACAGATGCACGCGACAACGTGTGTACGTCACTCAACGAATGACACAAGGACGTTCTAGAATATATTATAGACAACGCTAACAACTGCGCTCCATCCTCTATTTCGTGACAAGAAACAGGACGCCCCCCCCCCCAAAAAAAAAAAAAAAAAAGACTGACCTGAGTTGCCTCGATCTGCCTGATGGTTCTCGCCACGAGACTCTCTAGCACAGGGCCGCGGTTGTCGTGGAGAAGATGGATCTCGTCGATGATCACCAGCCGGACGAGCTGGGTATACGTCCTGTCCCCCGCCTTTCTGGTGATGATGTCCCACTTCTCGGGGGTGGTAACGATCACCTGATGAAGTGAAACAACAAAAAAAATGAAACCGCTAAATGAATCTCACTGTTGAAATAATTCAACACATGCCTTCGAAGGGGTACTATCGATCACCTGAGAAGCAAATACAAAAAAGAGGTAACGGCTGAACAACCCTCGCTGCTGAATTCAATACACCCCTTCGCAAGGGGAATTTTCTCGAACGGGGACCTGATGAAGTTGAAAAAACAAAAATAACAAACGGCTCACGCGAATCTCACTGCTGAGTTCAACACATCCTGTGGGGTCTTATCTTGAACGAGAAACCTTCGTATTTCTTTGATGTCAACTAACACCCTGTGAATGACACAGAATACCCACAGCGCAAGCTAAACTTACGCCGCAAAATGTTCTGCGTATCACGACGACAATCTTCTGGCTTGTCGAGGGCATGTCAAAGATTTGGACGAAGGAAAATATTGACAAGGGCTGACAGGAAGAAAATATATATATGCCGTTCTAGGAGAAAAACAAGTTCTGCCGATATGTGTCACGTCAAATGGCAAGGAAAATGTTGACGAGGGAGAACTGAGTGTATGGTTGAAGACGCGAATCAATTTTTTGTCGATGTCATGTAAATAAACTTAATATAGGTGATTTCACTCGGAGTACGAGACCGCGCAGAGAACGAATGAGAGACCAGCGTTGCTCGTCGCGACAGAAAAACAACACGAACCGCCACGGACCACACCAAAGGGATGCTTGCATGCATTGCATCACGACAGAAACATACCACATCATTGCCATTTCATGGCAATTTTTGTACCGCCGTTTCGTAGCCATCGCCACGACGAAACTCAAGTAACAAACCGCCCACAAGGGTCAGAAAAGGGTTGGTGCAGACAGCACACGAAGAGACTGGCTTGTGTCAGACTGACGTCCCATACAAAGAAAGCAAAAACAATGACTAATGACACCAACAACAGACGTCTCCCACACCTACGAAATCTACAAAATCTACTATCGTGTCGTCCATGGCAAATGGGGGGCATGTACCTGCGTCTCCTGGATCTGCTGTCGGCTGAGGCTTTGGTCACCGGACAGCTCCTTCACGGTGACGCCGTAGCTCTGCAGCCTCTTGCCGAAGTTTCCCACCACCTGCCGTAGCCGAGTCGACAATCAGGGGATACAGAAGTATGAGAGCAACGAGGAGGTAACCACGTTAAACGGCATCAACAGCAGCACATAGACACCGGACATCGTTCTCGTTGTGAAGTGCCGTTAAGCCTGTTCGCGCAAATGGGTTCAAAGCTGCAGAAAAACGAAGGTGGCCCACAACCCTCTTCAAGCCCATGGCTAGCCGGTGCACTGGCAAATAACGTGTGCCTATCCAAGGGCGTGCGTCAAGGCACCCCTGCGGGGCTGGGGGTCGATTCGCAGGTCCGTCTTCATCGGAATTGCATCGAACCACATCGCAACCATGGTTCAACACCGTTCGTGGTCACGGAGCGACAGACAACTACCGTCAACACGCCTCCCTTGCACACAACCATGAAACCGTCCCTCCCTTCTCAGTGTGGACCTGTTCAGCCCTGGACGCACTCCATATACTTTTCAGAGTGAAAGATAGAACCAAAGCAACAACTGGAGACAACGTTCAAAATATTAACAGAACCCTGGCCACGTCATTTCAGAAGCGCGCATCAGGACAGAAGAAGCTGGCGGCCTCCTTCAAGAGGGCTGTACGATTCCACGACCTCGCCGTTCACTTGGCGTAATCTCCATTCCACACATCGATCACTTCCAAACAATGGCAACAACAACAACAACCGCTGAAACAACAACACCCACCTCCTGCACGAGGGCCTTCATGGGGGCCACGTAGACGATCTTGAACGAGTCCACGTCGATCGTGCCGTCCTCCTTGCGGTGCTGACCGATCTCGTGCAGCATCGTCATGAGGGCCACGTTCGTCTTACCCGCACCCGTCGGGGCACACAGCAGGAGGTTCTCCGGAGATAGCAGGGCCGCCTCCTGCATCTTGCTCTGAATGCGGTTCAATTTCTCCATACCCTGTTGTCAATCGCAACGCAACGAACGATTTCACGATTGAGGTTTCATCTCGCTACATGCGGTTAAATTTTCTCCATTCCCTGTTGTGCTGTTGGCCGATCGCAAGCAAACGAACGATTTTACAAACCATGTATCATACGGGCGTTGATCTTGCTCTGAATGCGGTTCAATTTCTCCGTCCCTAGTTGTCTTTTTCGGAAATCGCAGGCAACGAACGATTTCACAAACCATGTACAAGTACGGAGTTTCATGTTGCTCTGAATGTGGTTCGACTTCTCCGTCCCCTGTTGTGTTGCTTGGCCGAAATCACAAGCAACAGTCACACACACACACGTACTCCGGAGTGTGGGATCAAACGAAAACAAAGCAAGTGTGGATATTCACGCATCCAATCACGTGCGACCGTTGCCCGACATGTGAAAAGACGTCGATATAGCCGGTAACGCAAAACTGAGCACGGCGAAATACGGCAGCATCTACAATCGTGTGAACGTACGTTCACACAGAGAGAATATGGTATTGGTACCTTGAAGGCGGGCTGGGCCCACTTGGGCAGGTCTTCGATGGGGATGAGCTTCTCGCCTTCCACCGGAATGTGTTTCACGGCTGGCACGTGCACCTCCTCGTACCCCTTCTTCTGCGCCCTGAACAAGAAAAAAAAAAAAAAGGTCAAGACGTGAAGCGCGAAACAAAGGGAAAAGTAAATAAAAACAGCGACATTTGCATATATATGCCAACAGCAAACGTGCATCAAACGACATCAAAGAGTAAAATAGACGTAGCTTGATTGAGGACCGGCAACAGCAGCAAGTGTACCTCCTATCCAAAAAACACTACCAGAAAATACGCCATATTTTCATCCCGTATTCCCCCACCCTCGCGCCTCATCGTCCCGCCGGGGACTCCTCTCACCTCCAGGACTTGGAGTGCAGGTCGCAGCGCTTGTTGGTCATGAGGTGGCCCCCCTCCGTGAACTCCATCGCCTCGAGGTCCACGATCGTCTGGGCCTTCACGTCCGCGGACGTCGCGGGGGCGAACGCCTCGTCGGCGTCCATCTCGTCCCCGTCTCCCCCTCCCCCCGCCGCACCGCCTCCGCCGCCGCCCCCCTTCACCAGCGCCCTGGCCTCCTTGCGGGTCTTCTTGCCGAAGTCCGCCAGCTTGTCCTGGTTCCAGCTCGAGGCGGAGTCCGTCTTGAGCAGGGCCTCCAGGATCTGCGGACCCCCGCCGGCGTCGTCGGCCATCATCTCTTCCTGTAGTTTTTTGTTTTTTCCTGGGGGGGGGGGGGGGGGGGGGG